CAATTACACATCTTGGGGGGCTTATCTCGGGTCTTGAGCCTTTTACCCTTTTCTTCTTTACACCATCGGCCTTAACTACATTACAACCATTGAAAGACCTCTTTGAGGTGTACATACACTTGTGCAAAGTTCGGCTAGAGCTACGTTCGGCCTGATTCCTAATGGATACGTAGGCAACCTCACATTGATGTGCGACCACATTCATTCATATATGATCAAGTCAAAACATTTCCAATGCTCATCCCTATATCCATCTAGAGCTAGACTTAGGGGCTTGAAACCACATCACTTAGTTTACCTAGCCTAAAGAGTCATCATCTTTGACTCTTCTCACATGTATTTCCGTCACCATAGCCTTTGTAGTCAGCCTTAGTATCACTTTCACACACTTCATTCACATATTCATGGCCATATCCTCCTTCCCTTAGGAACCCCTTATAATGAAATCTAGTTCCACACCATGCATGCTTCACGATAATATTCATCTAACGCCATTGATCATCGTCCAAAAACATCAATGAATACTTCCTTAGCTTCCTGACCTAAGTAATATTCACTATTGCATACATTACATATTATGCTTAGCTCCCTGAGCTAAGCAACATTCATCAAGCTAAGAGTCATTGTTACACTTGCTTAGCTCCCTGACCTAAGCAATACTTAACAATCACCATTGTATACATGCTTAGCTTCCAGACTTAAGCAACGTTCATCAAGGTTGTTTTTCATACACTATATGATGCTTAGCTTCCTGACCTAAGCAACATAAATAGACAACAAACTACTGTGCTTAGCTTCATGACCTAAGTGCATTCATTGATCATGTCACATGATGTAATTGTCCTTAGCCTCCTGGCCTACGAACATTCATCGTGCATACATTATTTTCAAATTTGACATGAAGAAAATCCATGCCATCTTGCTTTGCTCAACGAGGAAGTTCAAAACTTCTTCCTTTTTTCATGTCTTTTCTTTAGGGCAAGTTCAAAAAAAAATTCAAAATTTTCTCGGCGTGGAAGTACAAAACTTCTTTTATTTTCCATCTTTTTTCTTTTGGGGAAGTTCAAAAACATTTTCAAAATTTTTATTGAGGGAAGTTTGAAAAGTCTTATTTCATTTTTCACGTCTTTCTTTCTTGGGAGAAAGTCAGTACCCTCCACTCATGACAAAAAATGACGGAAATTTTTGCATTTTCAGTTGTTTGTGTCTGCGCACACACTCAAACCATACATATACACACAGTCACAAGTCATACACATGTCATGTCGTGTCAAGTCAGTTGGTCAAGTCAATCACTGTTTATACGAGTCCTTTGGCAAATTCTATTTTGCAAGTCTTAGGTACAGTCGAATAATCATCATCAGACATTTATTAAAGACCTAGTGATCATCTCCCAAGGCGGGGACGATTCACGTTGCAAGTTTCTCGAGGCGTAGAGACTTGTAATTATCAGACAAGTTTTCCCGAGGCGTGGAAAATTGTCGATCGTTGCACACTTCTCAAGGCGTAGAAGTCGGCAATTGTGTCCCAAGACGTGGACGATTCACAATGCAAGTTTCTCGAGGCATAGAGACTTGTAATTTTTATTATCAGACAAGTTTTCCCCGAGGCGTGGAAAATTTTCAATCGTTGCACACCTCTCGAGGCATAGAAGTCGGCGATTTCGTCCCAAGGCGTGGACATTTAGTGTTATTCCCGCAGTATGGAATTTCACTTGTAAGTTACTCGATGCGTAGGAATCTACGACATGTTGCCCGAGGCGTGGAAACTTGTCACCTTTCACTTGTGAGTTGCTCGAGGCATAGGAGCTAACGATAGGGTTCCCGAGGCGTGGAAACTATCTCATATTAGTCTTCCCAATGCGTGAAAAATCATCATTCAGTAGATTGCTCGAGGCGTAGGAGTCTACGACCACTAGTAGAAAAATTGTCTTTTACCACCCCACATTTGTTGCGGTTAATATAAAAATCATAGCAATATTTTAGTAATTTTACATCAATAAAACAAACAAAAGGCTACGGTTAATCTAAAATCCGTAGCGTTAAATCAAAACGCTACGGTTTTTATAAGCGTAACATTTATAAACTACCCCGCCCAAATTATAAAAGAAGAAACGGATTTTTCACCGTATACCATTGAGTTATTTCGTAATTCACTGTATACCACACAAAATTTTCTAATACACCAAATACCATTGAGTTTTTGGTAAATGTCACAACATGCCTTTAATGACTAACGGACATTAACACCGTCAGTCATTAAGGCTAATAATGCCACGTGGCAGCTCGTGATTGGTTTCTTTCTAAATTATTTAATTAATTGTCAAATAAAAAAAAAACCAAAAAATAATAAAAAATAATTAAAAAAAAACATGCTGCCACCAGCCCACCACCAGCCAGCCCATTCCGGCCACCTAACCGCCAAACCCCCTTGCCGCCGAGGCCAGATTCGGCAGGCGCGCCGGCGGCCTCCCACCCCTTCTCTCCCCTTTTCGATTCTGGCCACACCACAGCCACCCCAGTCGCAGCCAAACAAACTCTATTTCAATCAAAAAAAATACACATCAACCAAAACCGCAACCCCAATTTCGCAACGATTTTCAAGCAATTACATTTCATTAATGTCTTCAATTCGTGAATTGATTAATCAAATAAATTGTAATTGGGTTTAATCTGAAGAATAAGAGTTGTCCTTTGAAGATTGAGAAAGAAGGTGACAAGGGTTAAATCGGTCACTACAATCTAACTCTCAATCAAACAATACTTATACGAACACCCTATAACCAAGTACAATGGCAAATAAAGGTTCGGTCCACGAGGAACGAGAGTAATTGCTAATCAATCTTAAACCTAAGCTAGTTCGAAATCAATGGAAAATGGTGTTCTAAAATACTACTAATAAGATGGAATAAATCAATAAACTAAGACACTAGGGAGAACGGGAATCCGCCTAACCATTGGTAACTAAGAAACAAGGAATCACAAAGACAAACGGGATATGCAAAGACTATAAGTCTGATCAATATCATGTGATAGGAAGACAACGGGCAATACTAAGCTTGGATTTCTCATGCACTTAACATTACTCGATACATAATCAAACCACATTCAATAATGAAATACTCAATTCACAATCTCTTGTTCAAATCAAGAATGTCATGCAATCAAATTCAAGATTCTAGGTTAGCTACTCCTATTATAATGAATTAACATGCAATCGCATATAATCAATTTAATCACAATCCGTTTATCAAAATCAACCCTCAATTACATAGATTACCTAGGCCGGGTTTCATCCCGAAACCCTAGCTAGGAGACTACTCACACATATTCATAATCAAAGCAATAATGAATTCCAAAAGCATAATAGATATAAACATGAATTCTGATTAAGGAATAATAAAGCTTGATTAATAAACAAGAATGAATAATACCAATTGTATTGATGCGAATCAATGGAAAAGTTCAGAACTTTGATATCCGTCGTCAATGAATAATACAAAGAATCTCCGCAAATCTTGCTTCAAATCAATCCAAGAAAACTAAAATCCCTAGAAATATCTCTAAGAAAACTAATGAATCTCTAATACTAAGAACGTTCTCCAATAACTCTCTACAAAGGCTCTCAAAACTATCTCTAAAACTGTCTCCAAATCTCTCTTAAAGTCGGGCCTTATATACGTCTTCTAATTCGGAGAAGTCAAGCGCGCAGTTAACCCTGGATCAGCACGGCCGTGCTGAATTTGGCACGGCCGTGCTAGCTTGTCAGTAGGTAAACCGGATTTCTTCTTCAATTTGGCACGGCCGTGCTATATATGGCACGGCCGTGCAGCTTCCTGGCACGGCCGTGCTAAAAATGACACGGCCGTGCTGAATATGCTCTAGCACGGGGCTCATACTGAAGCTGACACGGGCACGGGCAACATCTGGCACGGCCGTGCTAATGGCCTGCACGGCCGTGCGGGTGCGTGGATACTGACACGGCCGTGCTATTGGCTTGCACGGCCGTGCTGCCTTGCCTGGGGTTGCTTGCTTATAGGTCAGCACGGGTGTGCCTATGGTAACACGGTCGTGCTGCCTGTGCTATGTAATCAATGCACGGCACTTGAACTTCCTTAACTCCTCGGACTCCGGTCAAGGCTAGCTCGGTTACGCATCAAGGGCTCGGGATCCGATTAAACTCGGTTGATATTACCTGAAAACACATCAAAAACAAACCGAAAACCCGTGAAGCACGTAATATGGGGAACGTAAGCATAACAAGGTAATAATCGGCCAAAGCGGCCCCAAATACATCCAAAATCATCCTAAAATATGCTCTAAAGCGCGCCCTAAAGTGCGCTTGTCAGAAGGGTTTGGTGTTTTCCGGGGGAGGTGGTTTTAAGGGGTTTTCGAGTGGAGGAAGAGATTTCAAGGGAGGGAGTGGTCGTCGAAAAACGGGAAAAGGAGATAAGGAAGGAGGTTGGGGGTCCCCAAACCGGCGCCTAGGGAGGGAATTAGCGGCGCAGGGCGGTGATTTTTGGGGTTTGGCTAGTGGCCGGAATTGGGAGGGTTTTTATTGGTGGTTGCATCGGGGTTTCGGGGAGGGGGGATGGTGGATTAGATGGTAGTGGCTGGAGCAGCAACTCTAGTAGAGGGGGAGGTCCGCGGTGGTTCGACAAGGGAGGTGGTTGGGCTGGGCGGCTTGCCGGAACTCTTAGGGTGGTTGGGGTTTTGGCTGGGTGGCATAGTTGGTGGTGTTTTATTTTTATTTTTTTAAAGTTAGTTAATTAAATAAATAATATTAATAATCACCAATTACAAGCTGCCAAAAACTCAGTGACTAAATACCACATGGCATAATTAACGTAAATGACTAATACCGTTAATGGTAATGGCATGTTGTGACATTTACCAAAAACTCAGTGTTATTTGGTGTATTAAAAATTTTTGTCTAGTATATGGTGAATTACGAAATAACTCAATGTTATACGGTGAAAAATCCGAATAAGAAAACCCTTGTTTTAATTTTGAAGACCAGCCCCCCCTCAATTCACTCTCCTCCTTTCTCAACTCATTCCCGTTCAATACTCACCAACCCACGCCGCCGCCGCAGATTCAACTCACTCACATCGCCGCCGGTCTGGGTTGCCGCCGATTCGGGTTGCCGGGATTCTGCCTTGCTTTCTCTTCCGTGGTCCCTCTTTCATCTCAAACCCCTACTCCGATTTTCTCTTTCATCTCAAACCCCTTTATAATCTCCTTTTCTCTCCTCTCCATCCTCACAGATCTGTCGCTCTAAAACTTCTGGTTCGAGACTCCGTCGCCGTCGCCATGACACCAATTGCTGAAGGTGATTTGCTGCATTTTCGTCCCTCAATCATCTTCTTCTCGCATTTGCTTCTGAAGGTGTTAGCTCTTCATGCTCGTTAAAATCAACCAAGGTAAATCTCTATTGTTTTCGTCATTCGGATTCTTTTCCCCAGATTTTTCAATACAACACTACAAATTTAGCTCTACTTCATTCTCATACTCAAATTTCTCTCTCCTAAATTAGTTGAATTTATTAATCTTTAACTGCTGCCTGCTTATTTAAGTATGAGTTTCTCTTTAATTCGCTTTGATATCTTCTGATTAAGGTTTTTTTTTTTTTCCTGTAATTTGAGATTAAGGGTTTTTAATTGTGGAGAAAATTTGGATAATTCGTGAATTCTTGACTAATTTTCTGTTAGCTTTGTGTGTAACGATTGAGCATAGAATTGTTAATATATGACTTTGTGATAGTTCTTAATTAGGTAAAAATGGTGTTGTTTTTCTTTGAGGGTTATTTAATTTGCTAATTAGTTTGGATTTAAGCTGTTTCTACAAGTTAGATTCAAGTTAAGAGAGAAGATTCAAGTTTAGATTAAAGCTGTTTTTCAGATTTGCAAGGTTATTATTGCTGATTATAATTTTGTTTATTTAAGTTGCTTTTTGGGCCTGATCTTGTACCCTTTTATTTATTTTAATAAATTTAAAAATCAAACCTAGTTAAAGCCCTGATAATCAATTGTAACAAACATTTTATTTTTTTCCTACCTGGCTTAATAATATTAAGTTAAAGCCCTGATAATCAATTGTAACTACTCTGTGTTGGAGTTATAAAATAACTGATCTTTGCTAATTATCGAGTACTTGGTTATGTTGAATTTTCAAACATAATATTGCCCAATTGATATTTTGTCTCAATGTTTTGTGAAAGGACCTATAAGAAGTTGTTTCATTATCCACTGTTTTTGCTCAATTGAATTCCATGCTCTTCTTTTCTTCTCCACTTCTCTGTCCAAGATAGGTATTAATTGGTTTTATTTTATTTTTGGTTATTCTGAATACTTTCGTTATTGCCTCCATTGTTAATATTGTGGTTGTTGTTGATATTGTTGTTGGTGCTATTAATATTGTTTTCGATGCTAGCTAGCTATTAAAGTTGCTGTCAGTGTTGTTTCTTTGATGCTATTAATTTTGCTATTGGTGTTGTTTCTTTATTGTTGCTAGTGTGTGGTTATTGTGGGCAAAATTTCAAGTTTATGATTGTATAGTAGTTGTATACTATCAATAGATGATGTCTGATCTTGTGTTGTTTATACATTTTGATCAATCTAACTGATCTGTATAAAATGATGAGACTAATAATCCTTCACAAGTTTGCCAAATTCTATCAAAGCATGTTATTTAGCATTTGGGCGGCATTCTTTATGCTCTGATATAACCTACTCCTCTCCTTTATCTTTCTTTTAAATCATTTATTTATCAGTTTATGATAGTAAGACATCTTAATGGAAGGTATCAATAGCCTTTTTGTGGTTTGATCATACTGTATTCATCTTCTCTAATAGAAATAAATATATCAGCTCTCTACTTTGTCCAATCTTATTTATCTGACTTTTATGAACATGGTGCCTTAATATTGTGGGGTTTGTTTAGTGGGGAAGGGGTTGATTGGATTTGAATGAATTTTGGTGGCTGTAGTTTTTGGATGAATTCAGAATGTCTCCTACTCCCCTGCGTTTAATCATTCTCTCATTTTGATTCTTGGTGTTTGGGGGTAATTTTCTTACTTAGGTCTAGACTTGGTCACTGTTTGCTTGTTGTAGGGTATTTTTTTTAATGATATTTGTTATTCTTATCATTTGAATAAATTTTGTGTCCCTGATGCATTGCTTAATGGTTGCTTAGAATCGCATCTTAGCTGAAGTGGAGTATCAAATTGAGAAGATACTTGCTCTGGTGTTTGAGAAATACAATCCTTGGATGAATCATTGCCTTTCTGGAATGACATAAGTCTTCAGGCCTTCAAGTGGGCATGTAGGCCTTCAATAGGTTGTGTATGGTATGGCATTTTCATGATCAAAACAAGTTAAGCATCAAAAGTTATAATTAATTAATTGAGTTGAAACAACTTTTTAAGCCATTAAGACTTGAATGTCAATTCTTGTTGTTTAATAATTTACTTCTCTTTGCAGGATCGGAAGAGCACTTCATCTCTAAGCTTCTAGGCTCAAGTCTCATGTCTCTCTGGGTTTCCAACTCAAGGTAGCCTAGTTGTCTTTGTAAGCTACGTTGATAGATCAGATGGGGTATGCTAATTCAAGTAAGTTGTTCAACACCGTCTGTCATCAGCTTGTTGTTCGATTGTTTTAGTAAGAAACTATTATTGCTGCTTAATGGAAGGAGATTTTGAGTGATGGAGTGAATGTGTTTGGAACAGAAGAATCGTTGATATTATACTACGTACATGGTTTAGTCATATTCTGGAAATTAGGGAATTTGTCTGAGCCAAATAGGAGAATTTTCTGAGGTTGGCTTGTGTTCATGTCTATGTTAGCTGTCGGAAGAAAAATCTAATAATCTGAACACTAAAGCTATATTTTTGTCTTAAGGCTAAATTCACTAGTGTCAATGAAGTTTTATATTATGTGAGTTTTCTCTAAAGCATCATATTACAGGTTATATTGCACTTGATGCATCATGACATCGATGCTGCTTCTGTCTTTGCTGCTGCTGCTACTTCTGTGCTGCTGCTGATCTGCCTCTGTGGTGCCCTAAGTCGGTTTTGAACGGCCAGTGCCTATTTGCCTTTTTCTACTCGTGAGGTGATCGAGCATGCTTGTGTTCGTACTCAATCAAACTGTGCAAAGTCCATATGCTGCTGTCCAAAGTTGATGTTGTTGATGTTTTCGTTTGCTGAATAGGCTGCTAGCCTTATTTGTAAAGTTTTGTTATTTGTAAAAAGTTTACATTGTAAAACTAAGATAAATTCTATGAATTTTATTCTTTTATTATGTATATGTTATACAATCATCACTATTTAAGCTTTAAAAATGCAAAAAAATAAAATAAAAATAATACGGAGTATATTTTTTTTGAGCCACTTAATGCTACGGTTCAGACAAAAAACCGTAGCAAAAAATAGCAAAAGACTACAGTTTTTTTTTTAAAAAAAACCATAGCAAAAAATGCAAAAACGCTTTCAAAAAACTTAAAGTTGCTACGGTTTTGTACCGTAGCAAATAGTTTTCCTTGTTCGCTACGCCACTAGTTCTACGGTTCAAATTCGTAGCAAATGCCCCTAAAATAACCGTAGCAAATGCCACTTTTTCTACTAGTGGACATGTTTCTCGAGGCGTGGAAGCTATTCGCGTTATATCTAGTGGATCGTTCGAGGCGTAGTGGTTCGCAATAGAATTCCCGATGCGTGGAAAATTATCATCCGGTGGATTCCTCGAGGCGTAGAAAACTACCAAAACATATTTGTGCCATGTATTGATGTCAGATGCGCATTCTATCCCTTTACTCTTTTATCTGTGGAACTAACGCTCTTCTGCAGGTATCGGCGTATACAGAATGATTTAGGATCGCAGAACGTCTTAAATCATTCTCCGTCCCAATCGACTACTTTGACTATCGTTTTCGAAACTCACGTTTCTACAAACTCAGTCAAAGTGGGGGCTTCTGTAGACACCTAAAAATTTCTACCCAAAACCAAACCCGATGGTGAAAAACCTTTCACCGCCATTATTGGTCGGGTCGAGTATTTAATCTCGGGAGTACTTAAAATCTACATTCAATCAAACACAGCTTACAAATCAGTCAACAGATCAATCCTAATGTTTAGTTAAAGCATAGTCCAACCATCATCTTAGCTCAAACCCTTTTTACTTCATTTCGTTTTACTTATTAGTTAAGTCCGATTAATAAATATTAAACCCTAAATAAGTCCGGAACTCTGAAACGACGCCTATTATCACATGCTTAAATGTTAAATAAAAGGTTAAAATGAATTTGGGCACAATTTTAGAAAACAGAGTTGCCGTGTCACGGCCATTTGCACAGTGTCACGGCAATTTCTGCCGTGACGCGGCAATTTTCTAGGGTTTCTCCGCGGCGCATTTCAATTCTATGGTTTTGTGCATCACCCTGCTGATTTCTTAGTTTTCGGGCACCAAATAATCCTCTCTTCCTCTCTTAGACAAAATCATTCTCTCTTTCTCTCTTATGCTCTAGCCTAAAAACTAGCATTCCCTATTCTCTCACAATACATCCCTTAACCACTCTCCGTAGTCCGTACTTTACTCGAAGTTCTACACTAAAACCAAGGCGTGAAAGGTAGAACTGTTAGAGGGTTTGGCCCCAAATCAACCTTACTTTAATTTAATTTAATTTCCATTGATTGTTTATTATTTTCCTTGAAATTACTAACGCATTTATTGTTTTATAGTTGCAAACAAATACAATCAAAGTAAGGAATCATGTTCCTTTTGTTCCTATTATATTTCTAACGATTTTTGTTATGATTTTCATATACTAATCGTTATTATTATAGTTAAATTGCTTCCAATGTTGATGTTGATTTTTATTATATTTATGATCACCATATTGCATTACAGGGAATATGTAATTAAATATAACGCCTAATAAGATAATTTGGACGACCGGTTTAGGATCCTTTTTAATCTTATTGTTTAATCAAGTGATCACAATATTTAGAATTATATGGGTGAATTAACATTCAACCAATTTAGCTTAATATTAGTTTGGAGCAAATTAAATATTTGTTTGTGTGCCTTTGAGTTTGCTGAAAATACTTTTCACAATAAGAATCGAGCAGAGGCCAATATGGGCGAATGTGACTCCATGACTCACTTCGTACCATCATCCCCAATCCTCCTTTCGTGGTTCCGAACCATATGGAGTTAGTAATCTCATGGATTATGAATGGGGTGTAACCTTCACGGGTCAATCATTGTTGCCTATCGTTGTCCTTTTATCGTGGTTGCCTTAAATGATCCGTGACTGGTTTACAAGTTCCTTAAAAAACTTGTTGACGGCTCCTTATTTTGTTTTGACCCTAATCGTTGTCCCTAATCGTATATGTCAAATCCCGCTTCCTAAGAGTGCCAAGCATATTCGCCACATGCTTAAGTAGGTACGCTTCGAATGACGCCTACAACCCATTTCACCCAAAGGTTGTCTGCTTTATGAGACAGATCCTAAAGGATCTTAGTGACATTAGCAGTGTTCCAGTCACCTAGGGAAGTAATATTCCAGCCACCACAAGATTTAGGAAGACAAAGAAACTTCCAAGCAACTCAAGATTTTCTAGAAGGATTACATGTCCCAGTCCAAAGAAAGCATCTAAGTTTAGCTTCCATTTCTTGAAGAATTTTCTTTGGCAAGATGAAAATCTGAGCCCCAATATGTTTGGATGCCCAACAAAACACTCTTAATTAACTGTATCTACCAGCATAAGAGGGATTTCTAGCAGTCCAAGAGTCAATTTTAGAAGTAATCCTTTCAACTAAAGGCCTGCATTGGATGACAGTAAGCTTCTTTGAAGAAAGAGGAACACCCAAATACTTGAAAGGAATACTACCAGCAACCATACCTAAGATATTCAACAAGACATGCAGCTTGGAAATCAGCATCAACACCTCCAAAATAAGCATCACTCTTATGCAAGTTTGCTGAGAGACCAGAAGCTTGAGAGAACTTCTAAAAAGCATTTAACAGAAGCTGGACAGAAATAACATCAGCTCTGGAAAATAAAAGAAGATCATCTGCAAACATAAGATGAGTGAGACTAAGTTTCTCACAATTAGGATGAAAGTTAAACTCAGGATTAGCTACCATTTCCTGCAGACACCTAGATAAATACTCCATGCAAATAGCAAAAAGGAAAGGTGATCGACATAGAATCACCTTGCCTTAAACCTTTCTAAACTTGGAAAAGGGGGTAGGAAAACCATTAATAAGAATGAAGTAAGAGATAGTGCTAATACACCCCATAATCTATTTAATCACTCTAATGGGAAAGCCAAGTTCACCAAGAACAGTTTCAAGGAAACTCCATTCAACTAAATCATATGCTTTCTTGAGGTCAACCTTGAGCATGCATATGGGGGTGATGAATTTATGAGTGTAACCTTTAATCAACTCAGTAGTCAAGAGAATGTTGTCACCAATGTGTTTTCTTGGAATAAAACCAGCCTGGTGTGAGGAGGGTAGCCCCTCGTTGGGGATCCCACTTTCTCTATGCCCATGGCCTTTTAAAAGCCTAGGACTTTACACTTTTAAAGGTGTGTTAGGATTTGAATTCCTGATTGTTTAGGGGACCTTATTAGAATTGATTTTATCTTTACGATTTTTTGTAAGAAACTAATAGGGAATCGCCAATGAGTTTTAGGAAAACTCATAAACCTTGTTCATGTCTTTCTCCCAAGAAAAATTCAAGGGATAGTTAATAGAAATCATAAGTTTACCCATGCCCAAATTGGTCTACTTGTACCAAAAATGAGTTTAGGAGCGAAGGTACTAAAATAACGTTCCCTTTAGGAGGGAATTACTATCCTATCCCAAGTGCGGCCTCTAATAGCTCTTCTTTTTTCATAATTTCATCACCAAACATTTTTTAACGTGGTTCCTAAAACTAAGTTGATTTTAGCTACACGCTTTAATCACATAAAGATTATATTACAACGAATGTCGTTATTCTTATGTATTCCAAATTCGTGAAAGAACAATAATAAACAAGATTCGCCTTGGCTTAGGTGATAAAACAATCAATTAATTTGTCCAATTCTAGTCTTGTTTAACGAATACTATGTCAAATTAATTAATTAAATGTTTATTTAACGTGATCAAGCAACATTAATTAATTAATTGAAGTGATTTAGGACAAGAAAAGTAATGTGATTTATCTAAGTGCTCGGGAATTACCACTTTTCCTTGCTAGATCTTCGTTTAGAATGCTTATGGACACCTTCTTGTTGGGGAACCTCCACCGTAAGAACAAAACAATTAAAGGGTTAGTGTTTAGAACAAGAGGGTTGATAATTGCATAAGTTCACAAAGATGTTACTGCTGACTTTTTAGGCTATTTTTCTGTGTGTTTAAGGCTCGTATTGAACCCCTATTTATAGGGAATGGGTGAGTTTAGGCTTTCGGAGATTCGGTCGCAATAGGTGGCGCGCACAACTCTATAGGTTGCGCGCGGCTGCTGCGCGCAAGTGATTTAATTGCGCTCCTCAAGGCAGTGCGACTTCCAGTCTTGCGCGGGGTTGTATGGTAAGCGCATCTCTAAGGGGATGTGCTGGGTGCCGCGTAGAATCTTAGGAGTTGCGCGCGCCACGCCAGCGCGACTTCATAAGTTGCGCGCGGATTTTTCTGCGCCATCCCTAGATTTTAACCTAGGTGCTCTAAATCCGTTCGAAATTAGGTTTAATCTCATGATAAGGCCTAATTTCTGATCGGGCTTAGTGTTAGTGAGTTTTAATTCATTTCGTTTGGGTCAAGCTAGCTAGTTTTATGTGTTTAGGCCTTAATTAGTAGTCCATAAGCATTCCTTACTCTAATCCAGCACAAAGATGGAATTATTTATCGTCATAGCACTTCTGGTCGGGATAGGGGACCAAAAGTAGATGTTTATAGTTAACCCCCACTTTGATCGAGTCGAGAATAGATGATGATCAAAGTAGTCAAGGAAATAAATCTGAGACTCATTCTGCGAAGTTTCTTAAAGATAAGGAATCTTCCAGTAGTGTTGAGAATGGCAAAACTATTCTCGATTCGCTAAGTGTTCAAGATAAGTAGCTACTAAGACAAGAAAAGGGATTTTCTTATTTTAGTGCGCTAAAGAATCTAGATTGACCCTTTGCCAGTGTAGAACGCTTTTACAAGTAAAGGTTGTCCTGGGTGATGTCATGTTAAGATAAGGTACCTGGTTTTAAAAAAATAAAAGAGGATGATACCCTCTCAATATGTCATCAGCGGTCTAAAGTCCCTCGATC